TATCGTAATTAATCCATTCCTGGAGGTGTTATTATTATCGAAATCTACGATTTTCGAATCAATTTTCCCCATAAGAAATAATGTAAATACAATTAATCCGTTCCTGACACCCAGAAGTACTAAAGCAAAAAAAAATTTTACATGAAATATAGATGTAGTACATAAACAATACAGTGGGAAATGATGAATGAAACATTAACAGCATAACACTTACCTTTATTGGAGATTCTTCTTAGTGTATTGAAGACTGGAGGAGAGAGATTGGATTATTTACAGTTTGGAAGGGGAATCCCCTTCCATCAACACCTCAGGTACCAATTGCTTTTCTGGGGTTACTTCTCTTCTCTGTTTCTTAATGCCACTAGGACCAGCTTGAGAGTGACTGGAGTCCTGTCTCGCAAAATAACTGTCCAGAGAGCTCTCTTTCTTGCGTCTCTTTAACACTTCCCTAAAATGGGCCAAGACTTTGTCACTGTACATGTTGCCAACATGGCTTGCAACAGCCTTGTCAGGGTGATGTTTCTCCATAAATCTTTCCATCTTACCTTCATTTCAAAAATCTCCTTAATTTCTGAAGAAGGCACCTTCTTCCATCTCTCTTCCTCCTCCTCTGCAGCAAGATTCTGAGCTGCGATCTGTTGCTCTTCCTGCTGAAGCTCTTGCAGCTCCTCAGTGGTGAGCTCTTTGTTGTGGTCTTCCACCAACTCTTCCACATCCTCCAAACTCACATCCAACCCCATGGAACTCCCCAGTGCCACAATAGATTTAACAACAGACATAGGCTCATCAGGGTCAGCCCCAAACCCTTCAAAATCCCTCTAGTCGACACAATCTGGCCACAGTTTTCTCCAAGCAGAGTTCAAAGCCCTGGTAGTCACTCCCTCTCTAGCCGTACCTATAAAGGTTATGCAGTGGAGGATGCTGAAGTGTTCTCTCCAAAAATCTCTTAGGGTCAAGTGAGTGTCTGAGGTCACATTCAAGCGCCTTTGAAACATTGCTTTGGTGTAGAGTTTTTTAAAGCTTGCAATGATTTGTTGGCCCATGGGCTGGAGGAGAGGAGTGGTATTCGGGGGCAAGAACCTTACTGTGATGAACCCAAACTCCTCGAAAATTAGGTCATCCAAGTTTGGAGGATGAGCAGGTACATTGTCCATTACTGGGAGGCACTTGAGATCCAATTTCTTTTCCAGGAGGTAATTCTTCACACTAGGGCCAAACACTTCATTGAACCACTCGACGAAAATTTCCCTCGTGACCCATGCCTTACTATTAGATTTCCAAAACACACACAATTTACTCTTCATAACATTGTTTTTCCTGAATACTCTGGGATTTTCAGAATGGTACACTAGTAACGGCTTCACTTTGAAATCCCCGCTAGCATTAGCAGAGAACATGAGCATCAGCCTGTCTTTCATAGGTTTGTGTCCTAGCAGTGCCTTTTCTTCCTGTGTAATGTAGGTCCTCTTTGGCATTTTCTTCCAAAAGAGGCCTGTTTCGTCACAATGGAACACTTGTTCAGGTTTCAGTCCTTCAGCCTCTATGTACTCCTTGAATTCATGCACATATTTTTCAGCCGCTTTGTGGTCCGAACTGGCAGCCTCACCATGCCTTACCACACTGTGTATGCCACTACTGTTCTTAAATCTCTCAAACCAACCTTTGCTGGCCTTAAATTCACTCACATCACCACTAGTTGCAGGCAATTTCTTTACCAGATCATCATGCAACTGCCTAGCCTTTTCACAAATAATCGGCATCATAATACTATCTCCTGCTAATTGTTTCTCGTTTATCCACACCAATAATAACTTCTCAACCTCTTCGAGTACTGGTGATCTCATTTTAGTCAGCATATTTACCCCCTTTGCAACATCAGCGTCCTTGATTTCCTTTTTCTTGGCCACGATGGAACATATGGTTGTATAGGGTTTGTTATACATCCTGGCCAGTTCGGCCACATGTACGCCACTTTCATATTGTTCAATGATGTTTTTCTTAAATTCAATCGTATTTCTCACCTTCTTTACCAAAGGCTTGGCGCTAGGAGCTTGTTTTGGAGCCATGGTAGCTTATTTAGTACTTGGAAGCACTAAAATGAATGGAATATTATGAAATATTTCGTATGAGCAAGTGAGGGGACTGTCACTCACTAGTAAACATGCCACACTGGCTGGGAAGGGAGGCCGCCTTGACTCAGAGCGTGCGTATGCCTCCCGGACGAACTACTCTTCGCGAGTCAATCTACGATTAGCTAGCCCATGTTACGAAAATATCGCTACGATTTCCAAAAATTACGATTCTCGAGCCCTACGAATATCGAGGGACCACTGCTCTATAGCCTGTGTCAATTTTGAGTAAGAATTAGGGTTAGTCTGCCTGAAATGCCTAGGCATGCTAGAGGCCTTCCTTGTAATTAATATTTTATAATATGTAAACCACATATTGTAAGCTTTTCAAGGAAATAATCATTTTCATTTTCGTCTCTGCCTCTGTGTCTGTCTCTGTCTCACAGGTACACATACATAGTCTAAATTGCCTGAGATAACTCAAAAATTCCACACTAAGTGCTATACAGTGCTTAATGAGGATGACTGGCAAGCTATATGCATTTATACTTGTTCAGGAATCAGATGTGACGACTCTGCATTGTGTGTAATACCTGTAATATCACAGGCAGACAGAAAAATAAGCAGAGACCAAGATAATGAGACAGAGCTAGACAGATTGACAAATAGACAGACAGACAGACAGACAAACAAACAGATAGGCAAACAGATAGACGTGTTTATATGTAACAGTGAAACAAAGCCAAGGTAGTGCACAATCATCAAATGTCACTCCACTGCTGCACTATCAGCAGTGGAGTGACACTCATCTTACACCATGCTTTAAAGAGCTTCATATACACTCCAGCATGTCTAAAACATTGCTGGGACCTATAAATACTTTGTATATGTTTCTAGACAATAGTAGGTGACCAAGGCAAGTGAAAATGTTCACTTGTCAGTGTGTTTGTGACAATTTGAGTACTGTTTCAGTACCTAATATTAGTGGTAGAACAAACATTGGCTATGAAATCACAAGAACTACTACAAATTGTGATTATCAGAACATAAAAATGATATAAATTTAAAAAAAGATGAAAAAAAAGGTATACCGGCAACTCTTCTGCAAGCGTCAGGATTCCATGTTGTCATCAGGTGAGCATCCAGCACCAACTGTGCTGTCTTATGTCTTGGTAAGTACTGACCCCATTTTTTTTTTTGTTATTACACACAGAAAATTGCCCTCTTGAATTTAATTTTTTTTTTTTTTTTTTTTTAATATTTGGAGCACTAGGCGAGAGAACATAGATCTACGTTTGGACAGTTAACAGGTTAAACAGAACTTTTTCAATGTTTATGTCTTTACTACTTCCTTATATAGAAGAACTCTATTGAAGAACACTCTCCCTCTTCCTAGTACAGGAGAATGCTCTTTATCTTCCTTATACAGCAGATTTCTCTCCCTTTACATGTCATTATTTTCTTTTGCATCAGAACTCTCTCCCTGTACTTTTTTTTTTTTTTTTTAACACATCAACTGTTTCCCATCGAGGCAGGTGACTCGAAAAAGAAGTGCTTGCATCATCACTCACATGTTCATCACTGTCTTGCCAGATGCATGCCTACTCTACAGTTCAAAAACTGCATAATATCTCCACCCCTCCTTCAGAGTGCAGACACTGTACTTTCCACCTCCAGGACTCCAGTCTGGCTAACCAGTTTCCCTGAATTCCTTCATGAATGTTACTTTGCTCACACTCCAACAGCACATCAAGTCATAAAAATAATTTGCCTCCACTCACTCCTATCTAACATGCTCATGTACACCTGTTGGAAGTCCAAGTCCCTTGCGCATAAAATCTTCTTTAACCCCTTTCTCCAACCTTTCCTAGGATGACCCAGACCCCGCCTTCCTTCCATTACAGATTTATACTGCCTCCAAGTCATTCTATTTGTTCCATCCTCTCTAAATGTCCAAACCACCTCAACAATCCCTTCTTGGTCCTCTGTATAATGCTTTTAGAAACCCCACACCTCCTAATTTCCAAGCTACAGATTCTCTGCATAATATTCACACCATTCATTGCCCTCAGACATGACATCTCCACTGCCTCCAGCCTTCTCCTTGTTGCAATATTCACCTCCCATGCTTCACACCCATATAAGAGTGTTGGTACTACTATACTCTCGGACATTCCCCTCTTTGCTTCCATGGATAGCATTCTTTGTTTTCACTCACTCCTCAGTGCACTGTTCACCTTTTTTCCTCATCAGTTCTATGGTTCGCCTTGTCTTTCATAGACCCATCTGCTAACAAGTCTGCTCCCAAATATCTGAATGCATTCACTTCCTCCGTACTTCCTCCGGTCTGATATCCAATCTTTCATTACCTAGATTTTTTGTTATCCTCTTTACCTTGCTCTTTTCTATGTTCACTTTTAATTTCCTTCTTTTACATGCCCTCCCAAACTTATCCACCAAGCTCTACAACTTGTCTTCAGATTCTTCCAAAAGCACAGTGCCATCAGCAAAACATAACTGTGACAACTCCCACTTCTCTTTAACAGCTGTGGTGACATCACACACTCCTGTGTAAGACCTACTTTTACTGTGAAATAATCTCCCTTTCTCCTACATACTCTAACCTGAGCCTCACTATCCTCATAAAAACTCTTAACTGATTTTAGTAACCTACCACCTGTTTCCACCCACTTGCTTCCCTGTTCACCCTATCACTCTCTGTACTTGTCTTTTCTTTATACATTATTCACAATTGTCACCCTGTTTGTCTTTAACACAAGGCAAGATTTGTAGTAATATTAGAGTCACAATATGAGGGCACTATATTATAGTAAGAGACACTGTTGTTAGTATTTATCAGTATTACAGATTGCAGTATGTACAGGTGCTCTTGTGTTGCAAAATATCGCTAAGTAAGATTAATGTTTACAGATGATATTCCTATCGGCTCTGGCTTAACCCCTCAAGGAATTATTCCTGGTATGGGTCCTGAAGACAAGGTAGAAGAAGCGGAGTCCACTGGGCCAGAGACTATTCCTGGTCTGGACTTTGACAGTTCTGGATTTGATAGGTAAGCTAAAAAATAATCTACTTCTATAACAAAAAGTCTGAAGAATGGTAGATTGATATCAGATTTGAGGGAGGTAGAATGGAGGAAGTGAATGTATTTAGATATTTCAAAGCAGACATGTCAGCAGATGGGTTTATGTAAGGTGAGGGGAAAAAGTAGTTGGTGTGTTGGGGCATCTGTGCAAAGAATGGGGTTTATAGAAACAAATACGGAACTTACCAAAGTATAATGGTACCAACACTTTTATATGGGTAAGGGGAATGATTTTTGAATGTTGCAGCGAGAAGGAAGCTAAAGACAATAGAGATGTCATATTTGACTGCTATGTGTGGTGTAAATATTATGCAGAGAATTCGGAGTGTGGAATTTAAAGGTGGTGTGGGGTCACCAAGGGTACTATTCTTAGAGCTAAGAAGTGGTTGTTGAGGTGGAAAGGATGATGAAGGGGATGTATAAATCTGGGGTGGAAGGTAAGAGGAGTAAGGGTGATTCCAGGAACAGTTGAAGGGAAGAAGTAGATTAGGCTTTGAATTTTAGAGGCTTGAGTATCCAGCAGGCTTGTTCGAGAGTAAAGATTTGATGAATGGGGTGATAATAAACTGGGGTGGAAGGATAATAGAGTAAGGGTGATTCAGGAAAATAATGTTGAAGGGAGAAGTAGATTAGGCTTGAATTTTAGAGGGTGAGTATCGCAGTCAGGGTTGATTGTAATGTCAGAGATAAACGATTGAAGGTGATGGAGAATGTTACTTTTAATTGACACAATGTATAGAGTGCAACAAAAAAATTATGAGGGGTTCAGGGAAATTGGTTAATCTCCGTTGAATTGGTGAGGTAGAAAGGCAGTGCCTTACATTCTGAAAGACGGGAGTGAAGATCATTGCTAGTCAGAAGGTAAATGAATTGTAATGTAGCCACAACACAGCCTTCAAGGATGATGGTAAATATGTTCTTTACTTTGGCAACTTATCCTTTAGGAAGTAGGTAAGAGGTAAAAAAAAATTTGTTATGTGGAACATGAACTGTGTACATTCTCCAGTAGTTTTGAACAGTTCACTACTTCTAAAATATGAACCATCAGAAGTATGATATGATTTCTTGTTTTCATACGTCTATTAGCAAAGTCCTAATAAATTTTTAAGCTAATGCACGTTCCCCTTTTCAAGTGTTGAGTTATTTCTTTATGAACTATCAAATTTGAGCAATTTTCCTTTACGCATCCAGCAAGACACTCTCCTAATTTTAGTATTCCCATTTGGTGAGAACTTACTAGGCAGGTATGATCATGGCTATCAGTATGTATTGGAGACAGGCTGCGTAATCATCTTCTGATATGGAGTCATACCGATGGTTCAGTGAGCTTTTAGTATATTTTGAATGTTGGTAGACAATAGGTTTAGAGGAGTTGTTCTTTCTAGGATATAATTATTGTTGCTAGTGAGATGCAGGTATCCTTAGGTAGAAGATACATCTATAAGCACTTGTAAAACTTATCATATTTATTTATAATTATCGAATTGGGAATTTTGCACTTATAAATATATTCAGGTTCAAAGGAGGAATACTGCCTCTCATCTAACGACGGTTCCCATTCCGACAGGAACACGTCGGTGAAAATGAAATCACTGCGTAAGTAAGGAGCATCTTTATTAGTGTATTGTTTTAGTGTCAACGTCTTAGATATTGATTTTTTGTGTCAACTTTGCATCATTTTTACATTTTTAGATATATTTTTATTGTTTTAAATGTGTACTGTGTTAGAGGAGGATCTGCTTGCTATAGACTTATCTTGGATGCTGTAATGGTCATGTGATCCTGTCGTAGTCGATGTGTCCTGTGTGGTAAAGATGTGACATTTGCTATGTGAGGAGAGGCTGTATTTAATTTCTTAGATGATTGTTCTTTTTTATAATGAGTATCTGGATATGTAATGCTGTATTTGAAAATTTATTTGATTTTAGGTTTTCTAATGGATAATCCTTTGTTGCTATAGCATGCCTATGATCCTTTCAGGCAGCATGGATTGCCTTGGAGGTCTGGTGAAGATAGAGAATGTGAATACAGTGCGGTGGTGTATGTGACTGTGACTTTCTTCTAGTTACTTGCTTTTGAGCCCTGTCATGTGTTGCTGTAGATGGATGTGATCCTTGTGTTGCTGTAGATGGATGTGATCCTTGTGTTGCTGTAGATGGTGTGATCCTTGTGTGCTGTAGATGGATGTGATCCTTGTGTTGCTGTAGATGGATGTGATCCTTGTGTTGCTGTAGATGGATGTGATCCTTGTGTTGCTGTAGATGGCTGTGATCCTTGTGTTGCTGTAGATGGCTGTGATCCTTGTGTTGAAATAGATGGATGTGATCCTTGTGTTGCTGTAGATGGATGTGATCCTTGTGTTGCTGTAGATGGCTGTGATCCTTGTGTTGCTGTAGATGGATGTGATCCTTGTGTTGCTGTAGATGGATGTGATCCTTGTGTTGCTGTAGATGGATGTGATCCTTGTGTTGCTGTAGATGGCTGTGATCCTTGTGTTGCTGTAGATGGCTGTGATCCTTGTGTTGCTGTAGATGGATGTGATCCTTGTGTTGCTGTAGATGATGTGATCCTTGTGTTGCTGTAGATGGACTGTGATCCTTGTGTTGAAATAGATGGATGTGATCCTTGTGTTGCTGTAGATGGCTGTGATCCTTGTGTTGCTGTAGATGGATGTGATCCTTGTGTTGCTGTAGATGGCTGTGATCCTTGTGTTGCTGTAGATGGTGTGATCCTTTTTGTTGGCTGTAGATGGCTGTGATCCTTGTGTTGCTGTAGATGGTGTGATCCTTTGTTGCTGTAGATGGATGTGATCCTTGTGTTTCTGTAGATGGATGTGATCCTTGTGTTGCTGTAGATGGCTGTGATCCTTGTGCTGCTGTAGATGGCTGTGATCCTTGTGCTGCTGTAGATGGCTGTGATCCTTGTGTTGCTGTAGATGGCTGTGATCCTTGTGTTGCTGTAGATGGATGTGATCCTTGTGTTGCTGTAGATGGATGTGATCCTTGTGTTGCTGTAGATGGCTGTGATCCTTGTGCTGCTGTAGATGGCTGTGATCCTTGTGCTGCTGTAGATGGCTGTGATCCTTGTGTTGCTGTAGATGGCTGTGATCCTTGTGTTGCTGTAGATGGCTGTGATCCTTGTGTTGCTGTAGATGGCTGTGATCCTTGTGTTGCTGTAGATGGATGTGATCCTTGTGTTGCTGTAGATGGATGTGATCCTTGTGTTGCTGTAGATGGCTGTGATCCTTGTGTTGCTGTAGATAGCTGTCATTCTTGTGTTGCTGTAGAAGGCTGTGATCCTTGTGTTACTGTAGATGGATGTGATCCTTGTGTTGCTGTAGATGGCTGTGATCCTTGTGTTGCTGTAGATGTCTGTGATCCTTGTGTTGCTGTAGATGGATGTGATCCTTGTGTTGCTGTAGATGGCTGTGATCCTTGTGCTGCTGTAGATGGATGTGATCCTTGTGCTGCTGTAGATGGATGTGATCCTTGTGTTGCTGTAGATGGATGTGATCCTTGTGCTGCTTAGATGGTGTGATCCTTGTGTTGCTGTAGATGGATGTGATCCTTGTGTTGCTGTAGATGGATGTGATCCTTGTGTTGCTGTAGATGGCTGTGATCCTTGTGTTACTGTAGATGGATGTGATCCTTGTGCTGCTGTAGATGGATGTGATCCTTGTGTTGCTGTAGATGGATGTGATCCTTGTGTTGCTGTAGATGGATGTGATCCTTGTGTTGCTGTAAATGGCTGTGATCCTTGTGTTGATCTGGATGGTTGTGATTCATGTGATGATCTGGATGGTTGTGATTCATGTGATGATCTGGATGGTTGTGATTCATGTGATGATCTGGATGGTTGTGATTCATGTGATGATCTGGATGGTTGTGATTCATGTGATGATCTGGATGGTTGTGATTCTTCTGTTGATGTGGACGGCCATGGTTCTTGTGTTGATGTGGACTCAGAGTTGTCAGTGGTTAATGGTTGTCCTGAAGAACTCATGAACTCTATAATGCTTCTGTGCTGTGTTCCTTGCAGTACTTTCTACAGGTGATAATAAACCATCGTCATCATCTCCAGACCCTGCTTCACACTTATATTTCTAGACATGTCAGGATCATTTTCAGTAAAAAGTCTACTAATCTAGCAGTGTTAACTGCTTATCTTCATTTTGTTTTTCATCATCCTTTTCTTTTATTGTTTTGTCTCCTAAGGAAATTAAGGTCCTCCATCATTTTTTCCGCAGATGCTTTTTCATCATTGTTTTCTAACAGTACATTTATATATTCTTTGTGCATGTCTTGCAAACCCTTGCATGTCACTGTCCTCACCAGAGTCAGATTTCCCTGACCTGGTTACTTACTGAGGAAAAACCAGAGAAACTGTTCACCAGAATACTATAATTTGCTCAGCCTGCATTTATAATGGATTGGGACACTTTCTTCCTGCCACTTTAAGTAGGTAAATGAATTTGCAATGTTAAAGTTACACCAGAGCTCTGGAGCTCGAGTCTCAGAACTGTCTTCCTTTGATAGTGCTAGTTTTTCTATTACTTTGTGTTTGTAGTTGCATGTAGATGTCTGTATTAAAGATGGATGTATGAAAAATGTCATATTAGATGGGAAACACAATCTTGACATTTGGGTTGACAGATTGCAACAGTTGAGGATGATTGTGGAAATTGTCAAAAGTGAGGAGAATCTTGAATGCAAAGTTTTTTGTGATCAGTTACATCTTGACCGCAGCAATAAAATAATGCTCAGCCACTCAATAAGCAGGACCTAATTCACCCATTCTACCTTGTTAGGGTGCCAAATAAGAGGCAGACAGGTTTTGTCCTGGCCTTATAAAGCTTTAGGATTGCACTTTAATTACCTTTTGCATTTCAAGCTTCTCATCTGTCTGCTAGAGAGCACACACTTTTGTGAAGGCTCTCCTTTCCCCCAGAGTTCTATAAAATGAGAAGTAGTTGTGTTGTATTACTGGAGTACTAAACAAGGCCCATTCTTTGTTTCAGTAATTTTTTCTGTCATATTTAGGTGTATTGATTTTTTGTCAGTCTTTTCAGCAAATCACTATCTAGACTAATTATTGCACAAATTCTTATGTTCTTTTTATTGTTTCTGATGATACAAATGGATACTTGCTGAGACTAAATAAGCAGGCCATCTCCATGATAAATCCACAACCTTCAAGCATATCTAAAACCTGTAATTTTCTTAGAGTTAGAGCTTCATGCTTCGTCCTTTCTCTATCTGGGCACATCTAGCATCACTTGTTTTCCTCTTAGGTGCCAGATGATATGGGGTGAAGAAAAGATCCAAAATTGATTGATAAGCACAAGTCACTTCTACATGTGGCACTTCCACAGGGCAGCTGGTAGTTTGGGTGGTTGTGTGGGGTGAGGAATGAGATGGTGTAGTGCCTCCTCTCAAAATAAAAAAAATTGCTCTCCCATAGGCCTAGCAAGGTGGAGGGAAAAAATCTATAGTGCTCTCTACATAAACTTCCTTCCTAAATTAATACTTTCAATTGCTTTCCAGTACTCAATACTAATTTTTTCACCCATTATATGTTTCCATTGTAAACTCTTATTCACACTAAGACAATCTCATGCAGTTTAACTTTGCTCTGATTGATGGTTTATTGTATTTCCTTTATCTTGCCTGAGATATTTTCCTTTCTGACAAATGAGATTATTCATTCATTTTTTTCTGCATTTTTCACTTAGATCTTTTTTACATATTTAAGGTAATTTTCCAGATCTGTTGTATTTTTACTAAGCACTGGTTTAATTAGTCATTCTAGTGTCATGTGAAGGCTTACTCAGCCCTGTAACAACTTCAGTCAGTATTACCAAGGCTGGCTCCTCTTCAGGAAAATTATGAATAGAAAACGAAATAATAATTCACAAAGATAAACACTTTATTATTTATTAAAGCAAACATAAAACAGTGAAACATGAAAGGTATATCCTATTTGAAAGAAAAATGAAAAATGAAATGAAAAAATGACATTTGAACTCAACGCTAATATATATATATATATTGTGATACTGGGGTGTCTGATGTTGGTGACACTGCGTGTTGTTGAAATCGTAGCCGTTGCTGATGATGTGGAGGGGGGGGGGTCGCAGGTGTTGGTGACAACCCACCGGCTCGTTCTTCACAGAGTCTATAGCCGTGAATAGTCAATCCAGATGACAGGAAAGCAGGTTCGTTACCACTGCTATGATGAGGGGTTATGTCCTGAGTCTGCGTACATAACAGGTAGGTAGATCAAACATGGGATGTCTCTGAACGTTAGTCCGTCTCCTTCAATTCTTCTCGTTGGTTGGCAGGTGACCCAATCTGTCATTCCAAGCTGGAAAGAGAGGTTACCCACTGCTTAAGAAATCACTCTCCATGATAAGTACAATACCTAAAAGACGTGGTGATTATTAAAACATTTAAGAGATATCAAGGCTGAAAGGACTAAGTTTATTATTGGTCAAAAGTGAAGCTTCCAACCAATAAGTCCACTAGAATATGAGCAGGCGTGTACTTACAGTTGTGCTGGGAGCTGTGAGTCGAGTGATTACTGTTTGACCGGAGCCCCACACGTCACCTTTCGGGGGGGGGGAGAATGAAGGAAGGGGGGGATAGCAGGAGCTAGACTTACCCTACCTTAACAAGCAGCCAGCAATCAAACTATCACTTTCGGGGTGGGGGAAAAAAGGGGGGGGGGGATAGCGGGAGCTAGACTTCCCCTACCTTAACAAGTAGCCGGCAATCAAACTATTGTTACCATATACTTGCTTGATACTCCTATCTGTTGAACTTTTCCCTCACACTCCCCCATACCAAGACATAGTCAAGGAGTATAAGAAGAATAGGTGAGGAAAAAGTTCTAACACGTGGAAGTCGCGTAAGGCAACAAATCTTCTACTGACTGTCACAGCTTAACCAGTCAGAGAAATAATTGGATGAACCATTGATATACACAATATGGAACTTAAAAGCTTGGAGAGCCAATGTCCACCTCAAGAGGCGACTGTTGGTTCCCTTAAAAGTTTCTAGGTATATCAAAGGTTTGTGATCCGTTTCTAAAATGAATTCTTTTCCCAGTAAATAAAATTTAAGCTTGGAGATACCCCACACAAGGGCCAAACATTCCTTTTCTATGGTGGAGTATCTCATTTCTGCAGGAAGGAAGTTTTAGATTTAATAAATATACAGGAACTAGGAGTGTGTATTTTGTGCAGTAAGCACCTGACACCTATTGCAAGAACTATACTTCTTTGTAACCTGAGAGTACATGCTTGGCCAAAATTTAGTGTGCTTGAGTTTATGCCACGTCTTACGATGGGCCAAGTGTTTGGTCACTGGCAAATCATGAGCCATTTGAAGAACAGTCTCTTGACATGGTTTAGGAGCAACAAGTAAGGAATAATCTGTCACTGAAGAATGAGATTTAAATACAGATTTATGTAAGATACCATTAATATATTCAAACTTATGAGATACGTATCTCCCGTGGATAACTTTGTTGTTAAAAGCTTGATTATGACAATCCCGAATTGAAGGGCAGTTGCGCTGTATATTGACAAAGTCATCCTTGGACATAAAATCTGGGAAAATAAAAGGACTTACGGTGGGAGAAGAGGAGGTAGGAGAAGCCGGGGTTATGGTCTGAGCCCTAGTCAAGACATTGAGAGTGCTGGAGGCAATACCCTTATTTTCACCTGATGAGTGGACAGGTGATCCTGCTACCTCACTATCGAGAGCAGTATCATCTGTTTCCACCCCCAAATGAACAGTACGAGATAATGCAGCTTGCGGTGCGGAATTGTTAAGGGGCTTAAACTTGCAAGGAAGAAGAGCTGGAAAACTTAGATCCACGGGTGGTGACGAAAGATCCGCCTCTGAAGGAAGAACGGCACCTTTAATGTTATCCTCTATTATAGAACAAGTAATTGGGGCTAGTACCGCATTAGTCCAACCGGTGAACCATTTAGTTTTCAAGTAATAACGTATTGTAGGGAAAGTATTTTCACGATCCAAGTAATCTGAAAGAATAGAGGACACACAAGAGGTTTTAAAGTAAGGGAACAGTTTGTCCGAAATTACGATGCACGTACATCCAGTGTCACGTAATATGTCTGAGACTTTTATACCATTAACTGCTCCTGAACAGAAGGGTGCTTGGTTATTACCGTCAACAAAACATCTTCCAACTTTCTCTATTTTCTTGGAAGGACAATCTGGACGTTTATGTCCGATACCACCACACCGATGACATGTTGGTATAATAGATGGTGACTTTTTTTCTACTGTAGGCTTCTTAATCTTTGGTTCAGGTGAACCATTGCCCTTGGGGATTGATCCCTTTAGGCCTTTATAGGAATTGTGAGCCTCAGCATACAAGTCAGCAGCCTCAGCAACTTCCTCAGCTTTAATCAGGTTATGTTCTCTAATGAATGTTCGTATCTGGTGGGGAAGAGCTGTCAGGAACTGGTCAGCAACCATGAAGTCTCTAAGAGATTCATAACTGTGATCAATTCCTGAACTCTCTATCCAAAAGTCGAACAAACGAGTGTTACCTGTAACTGCTGAAAGTTCTGGCCATGCTATAAGGTGGCATACCTGAAATCTTTCCTATAAGAATTTGTGGTTTTTTGATATGCTTTAAGGATTGCCTTCTTCAGTAGGTTATAATTACATATGATATCCTGCGACAAAGTTGCATAGATATTCAAAGCTGTACCAGAAAATAACATTCCTAACCTGGTAGCCCAGGTGTCAGCAGGCCATTCACAGAGGGTAGCGGTATTTTCAAACCTGATAATGTATGAAGTAATGTCTTCACCCTCTGTGAAGGGAGGTAAATTAGGTGTTGGAATATGTGCCCTAGCTGCATGATGTTCAATTACTCTTTCCTCTAATTGTTGTTGTGTAAGAGTTAACTTTTTATTCTCTAATTCAAGGCGAGCTTTTT